CATCCTCGCATCCCTGGAATAAATCTGACTTGGTCAGGATATATGATCTTTTTGACGATCTTCTGTATTCTTTTCGCTAGTATCTTATTAAGGATTTTGCATCTATATTCGTTAAGGAGATTGGCCTGTAGTTCTGTTTTGTAGGTGTATCTTTCCCTGGTTTGGGAATCAAAGTGATACTTGCTTCCAGGAATGAATTTGGAAGTATTGCTTCCCTTTCAATTTCCTTGAAAAGTTTGAAGAATAATGGTAATAATTCTTCTCTAAATGTCTTGTAAAATTCAGCAGTGAATCCATCAGGACCTGGGCTTCTCTTTGTTGGTAAATTTTTAATTACATTTTCAATTTCACTGATTTTAATTGGGGTGTTTAGAATATTTTTTATCTTCTTTGTTCAACTTTGGTAATTCATAAGTATCTGTAAATCTGTCCATTTCTTCTGTGCTTTCCATTTTTTTAGAAAAGAGGCTCTCAAAGCAGATATTCATGATCCTCTGGATTTCTGTTGGATCTGTTATGACTTCACCTTTTTCATTCCTAATTGCTTGTATCTGAGTCTTTTATTTCCTTTTTTTTGGATAAGGTTAGCTAAGGGTTTATCAATTTTATTTATTCTTTCAAAAACCAACTCTTTGATTCATTTGTTTTTGCATCATTTTCTTAGTTTCCATTACATTGATTTCTGCACTTATCTTTATAATTTCATCTCTTTTATGAGCTTTGGGTTTGTCTTGCTCTTCTTTTCCTAGGATTCTAAGGTTCTTCATTAGGTTATTTATTTGAGCTCTCTCTGTTTTCCTCTTGTGGGCATTCAGTGCTATGAATTTTCCATGTAGAACTGCTTTCATTTTGTCTCATAGATTCCTGTATGTTGTATTGGTATCATCATTTATTTGTAAAAGCTGTCTAATTGTTTCTGTAATTTCCTCTGTGACCCATTGATTGTTCTGGAGAGTGTTGTTCAATTTCCATGTGTTTGTGAAGTTCCTTATGCTATTGATATCCACCTTGATTGCACTATGATCTGAAAATATGCAGGGGATAACTTTGATTCCTTTGCAATTATTCAAACCTGTTCAATGAGCTAGCATGTGGTCTATCTTTGAGAATGACCCATGTGCAGCTGAAAAGAATGTATATTCTGATTTTGTGGTGTGGAACACTCGATAGACATCTATTAAATCCATTCATTCAAAAGCTTAGTTCAATTCTAGTATTTCAATGTTGATTTTTTGCCTAGATGATTTGTTTGTTTGTGATAGTGGAGTATTTAAATCCCCCACTACAATTGTATTAGTGCTTATTTGGTTTTTTGTGTTACTTAATATTTGTTTTATATAGTTGGGGCATTAATATTTATGCATATATATTTATGATTGTCATCTATTCCTCTTGAATGGTTCCCTTTACAAGAATATAGTGGCCTCTTGGTCTCTCTTAAGGACTTTTGGTTGAAATTTACTTCCTCTGTGAATAAGATTGCTACCCTCTGCTTTTTTCTGGGCTCCTGTCGCATGGAGAATTGTTTTCCATCCTTTCACTTTTAGTCTATGGGCTTCTTTTTGCACTAGGTGTGTTTCCTGTATACAACATATTGTTGGATTTTGCTTCTTAATCCATTCTGCCAGTCTATTTCTCTTGATTGGTGAATTGAGGTAATTGACATCGATGGTTTTAACTGATATGTACTGACTTATTATTGTCATGTTATTGTTCTTTTGTTGACTATTTTTACTTTTTCCACCTATCTTTTTAGTTTCTTGCCTTTCCTATTTGATTTGGTCTGTTGGGCCTCATGGTGTTGTGACCTTCCTTGTCTTTTTCTAGGATATTATTTAGAATTCCTTGTAGTGTTCGTTTGGTGTTCATGAAGTTTTTCAGGTGTACTTTGTCATGGAAGTATCTTGTTTCCCCATGCATTTTGAAAGAGAGTTTTTTGGGTTACATCAGTCCAGGTTGGAGGTTATCTTTTAGAAATTGAAATACCTCATTCCAGGCTCTCCTTATCTTCAGGGTTTGTGTTGAAAAATCTGCTGTGATTTTGATGGGCTTTCCTTTGCATGTGATTTGTTTCCTTTCTCTTACTGCTTATAGTTTGTGTTCTTCTGTTGGGTTTCTGGGATCTTGATTATTATATGTCTAGGCGTAAATTTTTTTTATCATGGCCAGTTGGAGTCCTATATGCCTCACTTATCTGTATGTCTAATTCTTCCCTTCTGTTTGGGAAGTTTTCTGTCATTAATTCTGTGAACAGCTTTTTTAAGTCATTTTTATTTTCTCCTGCTACTTCATGGATTCCTATCAGTCTCATGTTATTCTTCTTTGCATCATATAGGAATTGTTAGATTGATTTCTTGTGATCCCTTACTGTTTTTAAGAGACCTCTCTTTCATGGTCACTTACTGAAATCCTGTCTTCTATATTTGAGATTCTATCTTTGCATTCTTTTATTGTGTTGTGTACAATTTCAATAGAGTTTTTAAATCTCCTGGATATCTGTTTGAATATATTTTATGGATTCCACTTCTTTCTTCTGTTGGGCATTCATTGTTTCCATTTCTTTCTTTTGCTAGGCCTTCATGGCTTCTATCATGGTCCTGAGCTCATCCTTTTTTTTTGTCAGTTTCTGTTCTAGAGTCTCGAATCATGACTTCCATTTTGCTCACCATGTCTGGTGAGCAAATTATCTGGGAAATTATTTCTGTTATGTATTTTTCTAGAGTCTGATTGATCTGTTTTGTTACTTCCTGTGCTATGGGTTCAGGGTGTTCTGCTGGTTCACTATTAGATTTTTCATCTTCCTTTGCCCTACTGTTTGCCATTGGTGAACTGGAAGTCTGTCTTTGTGTCTTGCTTAAGTGTTTTCTCATTTTTATGTTTGTTGTTCAATTTTCCTCTGTTTAATGTTTCTGTTATTACTTAAATCTTCCTGATATAGTTGTGCTTTAGCTTTTTAGCCTTTAATGACTCACAGACATTCTCATTTTCATAATTTCAGAGAAAACACCTCATTAAATCAATCACAATCCTTTATCCCAATTGATGCAATCAGCAGCACAATAAGATCAAGAACAAGTTGCACACTGACCACTTGTGGTAGTCATTAATCTATCACCTTTAAACCATGTGAATTAATTAAAATCAAGAAGCTGCCCAAAATATGTTTGCAGGGAATAGACTTTTCCTTATAGCATCTTTACCATTGAGGTTGGGGGCTTAGACAGAGTTAAGACAAGAGGATTAGATAAGTGAAAGAATAGGAGATAGTTTCAAGTGAAACCAGAGAACATAGAATGAACATACAATCTTTAGGAAGCTATTAAATTCAAAAAGGATAGACAGAGTGCAAGTAGCAGACAAGCATATATCCCTTTAGTAGTAATAGGGGCTCACTTTCCCTTAAAACCATTGACCCATGAATGAAGTAAAATGACAGAAGAAAAGAACATAAAAAAAGAATAAATGATAAAAGAAGAAGTCTGAGTTAGGGCAGGAGCAGGAACAGAAACAGAGTTGAGGGATAATATGGTGGAGCAAAAGACTGAGTTGTGGAAAGAGGAGAGAAAAAAGAAAGAATTTGCATAATTGAATGAAGAAAAGGAAGAAAAAAATGAATTTGAAGGGCCTCTTTCAGACTATACCTCTGCTATCATAGTATACCACCTACACAGCTATGTACAGAATCAAGTCCCCTGATCTCAGCTATCCAGTGGCAGATCCCTGCAACTCAGACTGATCTTAGAGCATAAGGCCCAGATTGAGTTCCCTGACCTCCAGGGTTGAATGCCACACAGTTCTACTACATGTTTCCCCTGCCCCTTCTTTAAAGATGTTCAAAGTTGGGAGCTCAGAAGAATACCCTATATGTTCACATATGCCTCTGCAGAGTGGGTCCAAGGACTGGCCCAATCAAGAGGTCTGAGAATGGGGTGTATATTTCATGGGCACCCATGAGGCTACCTTCCTGGCTGGAGCTGGTGGCAGAGCAGGCAGAGGAGGGCACAGCTACCAGGTCCTGCCGAATGGGCCCAAGCAGGCAAGAGGGCTAGTAGATCACAGAGTGGCCTTCCCAAATCTTGCCTTCCTTGCTGGGGCTGGTGGAGCACAGGCAGGGGAGGGCGCAGATACCCGGTCCTGCCAATGGGCCCAAGCAGGCCAGAGGGAGAACAGATGTCAGAACAGCCTTCCCAAATCTCACCTTCCTCACAGGGCTTCCCATCCATTATTTTCTGAGATAGGCTATGGTCCACTATGGAATGTCCAAACATAAGTCACACTTCTCACCTCCCTGAGGACCAAAATAAGATCGAGGGTAGCCCAGAGGATTGATAAGGTAATGTCAAATGTAGGCTTCCTGATTTTGATGAAAATGAAGGAGGAGACACAGACATCTCCAGATGTCAGACAAACACCAGAAATTGACAGGTTATGTCATATTTTATAACCTTCCAATTTCAATGCACACAGCTGATAATTAGCCATATTGGTCCACATTATTCAATTCTTGGAAATGTCTGATATTCAATGAAAGTTTTGAAAAAGAATGTCACCAAAAATTTGGACTTTTCATTTACACAGAAGAAGTCTTAAGAGTATTATTGTTTGTTAAATTTTTGCTTTTTAAACAAGTCCCCAGCTTCTTATTTCTATTGCTCATTGTAGAAATACATACATATCTAAAGGGATGATTTTAAGCAATTTTAAGTGCAGAGTTTGGTTACATATATAATAATATATTTTTGATGTGACCCTCATTCTTACCCATCTCCAGAAAGTTTTCACTTCCCAAACTGAAAAGTGCAGCTTTCTGAAATACACTACATACTATCTCTTGAACATCCATGGCTCAGTAATGAAATGTCATACAAAGTTAAAGGCATCAAACCTCAGAAACTGTGAATCCAATGTTGATGTGTTTACAGATAAGCTTTGCTATCCCCCCCTTTTTACTACATTTTCTAAATTACATTCCAAAGAAATGAATGAAAAAGCTCATGGGATTAGATTTTCCAAAAGTGGAGCCTCTTGAGGGTGCTGCTGATGTCCTTGTTCCTCAGGCTGTAGATGAAGGGATTCAGCATTGGGGTTACCACAGTGTACATCAGTGAAGCCACCATGCCCTTTCTGGGAGAATATGATGGATTTGAACCACGATATGTTCCAATGCCTGTTCCATAGAATAAGCAAACAACTGACAGGTGAGAACTACAGGTAGAGAAGGCTTTGGATCTCCCCGCAGATGATGGGATTTTCAGAAGGACAGAAACAATTTTATAGTAGGAGAAAATGATCCCTGACACGGGCAAAAAACCAAATAGGACACCAACCATATAAGTGACTATGTTTTTTATGATGGTGTCAGAACATGAAAGGTCAAGGAATTTGGAAGTTTCACAAAAGAAACTAGCTATTCCTACATCTTTGAAACAGGAAACTTGTAAGGCAGTGAAATTCTGCAGCTGGGAATCCAAAATACTAACAAAGACTGACAGCAAAAGTAATAAGTGACAGCTGTGAGGGTTCATAATGACCGCATAGTGCAGGGGGTGGCAGATGGCCACAAAGCGGTCACAGGCCATCACAGTCAGAAGCATGCTGTCCATACAACCAAAAAAGAGAAAGGCAGACAACTGTGTCAGGCAGGCTGCATAGGATATGACTCTGCTGTGAGTTAGGATGTCCACGACCAATTTTGGGACTGTAGAGGAGGTGAAACCAATGTCAGCCAAGGACAGGTTGGAGAGAAAGAAGTACATGGGGGTGTGGAGGTGAGAGTCAGAGGTGACGGCCAGGATGATGAGCAGGTTCCCGAGCACTGCGACCAGATACATGGACAGGAACAGTCCAAAGAGGATGGGCTGCAGGTCCGGATCCTCTGAGAAGCTCATGAGGTAAAACTCTGAGACATGTGTGAGATTATATCTTTCCATGGTGTTTAAATAAAGTTCATTTCAAAAATGAAACAAAAGTATCCCCAAAACTCTTCATATATTCCTAGTTCAAGCATTCATAAACAAAGAATTTCCAGCAGAGATCCACAGTCTTCATCAATATGCTCTATCATGATAATCCCTGACATCTAGGACTCATTGTTGGCTGATTTGTATTCCACCTCTTCTGTGTCCCTCCTCTGTGTCCTCTTAGTTTTCTCATCCTCTACTGCACAATGAAAGCCACCCTCATACATAGAGTCCTGAAGTCCTGGATCACAGTGAAATGTGGGAAGATTTTATCCAAAATGTGTAGAGGGGTGTTAAGCCATGCCCCTTCGAGAAAATATGATCCTATTGGAAGAAAATTGAAAAGAATTAAAATATTATGCATTTCATACTCATAAAATGCTAGAAATTTCCCTTATTATGGTGTCTACAAGTACTACCTAATCTGGTATTGCATTATATGAAAATTAAAATAAAGTTAGTTCTCTTCAAACAGAACCCTTTCTTTTTAGCCATTGTTCTAAAAAATAATGAATTTTTCATTTTTGTTGTTTTTTTCTGACTTCATGTTTTAATAATGTAAGAGCTTTGTCATTCTTTGTAAACATACTGTGCATAAATATTGTTTGTGCATGAATTATTCAATATGGAACTTTTATCCTCATGTTTATTGCATTCAAATTCTTAGATCACATGTTCAGATACAATCACACTGTCCTCAGACATAATTACCACATATATAGATTACTGTATCCTGCATATGTGAAAATAATAAATGATAAAAAGCACCTTTGCCTTTTAAAAATTTATACAGGTGTACTTAATCACCTTTACTTAACATTGGTAAAATATCTGCTCTATATTTTATCTCTTCCTTTACTCTGTAGTCTACAACAGCTTGATAAAAATTTTGCTGTTGTTCTGATCATAAACCCTCTTGTATCCAGTTGACCACATTGGAAATTAAGAAACTCCCAAGGCTCTGGCTGAGTCCCATTGTTTTTACATCTAACTAACAGTTTTTCCCATCAATTTCTCCTGAAACACGAGTTTCAATTGTTTCTGATACACAGAAAGGTTTATACAGAGGTTCAGAGTTGATAATCACAGGTGCTTTAGAGGCACATTTGCAACACTCATTTCTTCAAGAAATTGAAATCAAGAGATAAATTTCCCTCATTTGGGTTGGGAAATAAGTGCAAGCATGGAGAAAGATGTAGGAAGCTCAAAAATATCCCACAGTGGTGGCAGGAGCTAAATTTCTGCTTAAAGCTCAAGGGAGCCTTCTCTCCGACCTTTGCCTGTCATCTGCATCTGGCTTTGGTGAATGCAGCCAGGGTCATCCATGGCTCTGCTTTGTGCATCCTCAGAAAACTGCAACAGTAAGGGCACCATTTATATGTGGCCTGTCCTGAAGTGACAGAGAATGAATTGTCTTCTTGTGCTAAGAGAACCTCACAGAATTACCCCTGTGTCTGTAACCAGACAACCCAATTCTACCAAGTCAATCTTTATACATAGCATATTTTACAACCAAAATAATGCAAGCAAATAAAACTCCTCAAAGACAGAGAACATAAAATAAAAAAGACACATTGAAGAAATTGCTCAGTGCCTGGGATTATCACTGGGAATTTGTATGTGGAAGATATGATGCCATCCAATCCAGTTCATGATTTTATAGTTAATGTTTTTATCTATATCATCATTGTCACCCTTATAATCCTTTTGGAGCACTTAGGAGACACTGTAGAAGAGCATGTATTTTGCTTCTATGGGTTAGAAATCATTAGAAGTAGAAACAGAGTAAAAATTAATTTTGAAATAATTCTGCTTTTCCTGCTACAATCAAGATCATTAAATTACCATTCCTTAAAATTGATATTTTTCATATTTATGCCCTCATACTTGACAACTAAAAATATCATAATTCTCCTCAGGATAAGGAAATAATAACTTTAAGCATCCTTCTCATATCAGTTAGGTCCCTTTGCACTTACTGGGTGATGCTATTTCTCTGCTGTTTCATAGGCAAGGAGAGCAGATCCAAAGAACCTCTTATGTCTGCTGCCCAGAGAAGGTGCAGTCTCTGTCCTCAAGATTTAAGTTAATACAGAGATACATAGGAGCTTCATAATATAGATAACAATAGAGTCTCAGATAGTTGTGGAGCTGGAAGTAGGACTGAAGTCACCAAAGGACTGAAGTCCTCTGTGACTTTGGGACCTCAATGCACAGAGCTCATAATTAGCCAAATTGGTCCATGCTATCCCAAACTCTAAGGACTTCCCAATTTTTGTGGAGGTAGGGGGCAAAAAAATATGATGTTCACAGAGATTTTTGGATCTTCCTCTCCTCAGATAAAGCTAGTTTGTCCTAATAAATTCTGTCATTTACATACAATTTTTAATGGCATCATATATCTTCAAGAATATTCAGCATCGTATATGTTCAAGAATGTTTCATTTTTCAAACTGAAAATGTATGTTCGACTAGAAAGTTCATTGTCCACCTTCCCAGCATTCCACTGTGAAATTAAGGGCATGGCATTATGATACTAACCTAACCAAAATGGCTGAAGGCCCTGAGATTTACCGTTCTGCTCCAGCCTCCCCATGGTACTTATATTTACTTTGTTCCTCGGGCTGTGAAGGGATTCAACACAGAGGTGAACAAAGTACACATCACTGTGGCTGTCACCTTGTTTCTGGTAAAATTTAATAATCCCGAGTCAATATATTCTTTAGAACATGTTCCATAAAATAATCAAGTAACTAAAACTCAGAACTCCAAAGTTGAGAATTGATTTTTTCTCCCACATGATGATTTTCAGATGATAAAACAATTTTTCATAGGAGAAGACAATGCAGAAGATTCAGTGGCAAGAGAATATGGCACCATCGGTACTTCACTATGGCCCTGGGAAAGTTGTCCAAATAGAAAAGGTTACGGAAGAGGGAGGTACCTGTAACACTCGGAACCCTTGAAGTAGGCAAGTCATAGCAAAATAAAGCTCTGTATATGGAAATCCAAAAAGATTAGCAAAAATGAAAATTGATATTGTGACTCCCCCAAGGCAGTGGTTTCTGGTGCCTGAGTAACTCCATGGGTTTCCTAGCACCACAGAGCGATCATAGACCACCACAGTTAGGACCATTACATCCATATGTCCAAAACTGAGAAAAAGATCCCTGTGTTAATCAGACCATTTAGCAGATGACTCTGCTCTGAGGTGTACGGTCCACTATTTTCCATGTAATCATGGTGGAGATGAAACAAATTTAGTCATTTCTAATTGCTGTTCATCCACTCACTTTGCTTGGTGTTTTCATTTTGTCCTGGTTTTGGCTGTATTGGTTTCATCTAGAATATTTTTTGGAGTGCCGGTTTCACAATCATACATCCCTTGAACTTATCTTTTAAATGAGAGGTCCTTATAGCTATATTCGTTCCCGAAAAGCTTTGTCTGTGAATAAGATAGCTACCCCTCCTTTTTTTCTGGGATCCTATAGCCTGGAGAGCTGTTTTCCATCCTTTCACTTTCAGTCTATGGGCTTCTTTTTGCACTAGGTGTGTTTGTTGTATACAATATATTTTTGGATTTAGCTTCTTAATCCATTTTGCCTATCTATTTCTCTTGATTGGTGAATTGATGCCACTGATATTGATGGTTATGATTTTCATAACCATATGTACAGACTTATTATTATCATGTTATTGTCCATTTGTCAAGTCTTTAATTTTGCCTCTATCCCATTAATTTCTTGCCTTGTCTATTTGATTTGCTCTGTTGGGCCTCATGGTGTTGTGACCTTCATTGTCTTTTTCTAGGATATTTTTTAGAACTACTTGTAGTGCTGGTTTAGTATTCATGAAGTTTCTCAGGTCTTCTTTTTCATGAAAGTATCTTCTTTCCCCATTCATTTGGAAAGAGAGTTTTGCAGGATACATCAGTCTAGGTTGGTGGTTGTTTTCTTTTAGGACATGAAATACCCTACTCCAGGCTCTCCTTGACCTGAGGGTTTGTGTTGAAAATTCTTCTCTGGTTCTGATGCGCTTTCCTTTAAATGTGATTTGTTTCTTTTCTCTTACTGCTTGTAGTTTTTTGTTCTTCTGTTGGGTGTTTCAGATTCAATTATTATAGGTCTAGGTGTAGATTTTTTTGATTGTGGCTCATTGGAGTCCTATAAGCCTCACTTATGTGTATGTCAAATTCTTCCCCTCCATTTGGAAAGTTTTCTGTCATTAATTCTGTGAACAGCTTTTTAAAAAAGTCATTTGTATTTTCTCCAGCTACTTCATAGATTCCCATCAGTCTTATCTTATTCTTTTTTTTTTCAGCTTTAATTGAGTTTATTGGTACATTTTAGGGATACAGTACAGTTACATTCATTGTTGGGATCTTGTACCTCTACATGACAAGTCTTGATTCTCATTTTTTCCCCTTACCTCTGCCCTCCCTTCACTCCCTCCTAGTCTTATCTTATTCTTGTTTGCATCATCTAGGAGTTGTTGGATTGATTTCTCATGATCCCTTACTGATTTTAAGAGAGCTCTTTTTTCACAATCACTGACTGCAATCCTATCTTCTATGTCTGAAATTCTATCTTCATAGTCATTTATCCCGGTAGAAAAACTTTCAGTAGAGTTTGTTTTTATTTCCTTGATATCTGTTTGAATCTGTTTCTTGGATTCCACTACGTTTCTATGTTGGGCATTCATGCTTTCCATTTGTTTCTTATGCTGGGCCTTCATGGATTCTTTCATGGTCCTGAACTCATCTATTTTTTTTGTCAGTTTCTCTTCTATAGTCTCCATATCATGACTTTCATTTTGCTCACAATCTGTTTTTCTGGGAAATTATTTATGTTGTGAATTTTTCTAGATCCTTATTGATCTGTTTTTTTTTTTTTTACTTCCTGTGCTATGAGTTCAGGGTGTCCTGGTGGTTCACTGTCAGGCTTTTCAACCTCATTTGCCCTAGAGTTTGC